GAAAGAGCTTTCAGGTCCAAGAGCGAAGAAGAGTCTTTGGGCCTTTCTACCCTCGAGGGCATACATAGTTGGCAAGATCTTCGCGGCCCTTTTCACGAAAGCTAGTAGCTAGCCGCAATTCCTCCGCAGCTAGCCCATTAGAGCCGTTGTAGAACTCGGTCAGCGGCCACATCATGCACGGGGAACAGAATGCGGTTTGCGTCCATTCCCAGTCTATGACTCCCACAATATCGAAACAATCATTAACCAAAATATGGTCACCCTTATCATCCAGGTTTTGCTAAGCCGTCAGGCGGTGAAGACTAATAAGTCGCATTTATCACCTAGGCACTTCAGATAGGCTATAGCCATAGATGTATGTAACTAGAAATACTGAATATGCTTGCTAAATGAATCCAACGTATTGAGTAACGGCTTGTATAGGAGCCCACAGTTCTTTACAGTATAGGCTGTATCACACGGCGAAAATGTGATATTTAGCCGTCAAGTGGTGGAATACCCGAAGCAGCAACACTAGTCTTCAAGCTGATATCCTCATTCAAATCTGATGGTGATCATACACTTTGCAGATCAGGAGGATGCCAGCTTGATATTGAACTAAGACCGCATGACACTAGCCCGTGACAATAGTTGTATGTCTTAATTGGCCATATAGTTCGACATCTCCTACATAGTAGACTTCTCTTAGCACAAACATTGGGCTCACTTTGTTATCGTAGTGTGCGAATAGTACTAGCGGTGCAAGTTGGAAGACCTCGCACTGCTAGACATTAAGTAACATGTATTATGTAGAATACGAAATATGAATAGACGTTATGGAATGGTGGAGTATACAGCCTTGGAATGCGCGTATAGTAGAAGGTCTAGCCCTGGGGCCTATGATCGTCCTTTTTCCTCCACTTTAACTCTCCGCTTTACTCTCCGCCCCTACCGTGCGTCACCGCCTACACCCTTCGACAATGGTTCCTCTCTAAATTACTCCTCACAACAATAATCCTTTCCTCCTGTTGCTAGGTTTGCTACCTGGAACCCTTTACCTCCGTGTCTGTATCATACTCTTGAGACCTCTATAGTCGCAACCTTGTGTTACTTTGGTCTCGATTTCGCATCACTTCGCTTGCACCGACGGCCCAATCATCCGCGACTCAACTTGTGCCTGGCACATCATATACCATACGTCACCGAATACTTCGTCGCGTCTTTCTGTGAACTTGAGATTGTTCGTGAATCGCCTCAAACCCGTCAATAATCTCCATTACGATACCAACCATCTTGAAACGCGTTCCCTTCATCTGTGCCAATACCATCGTCTATCTTCCATCGTCTATCTTCCCTCAACTCCCTGCTGGATGTTCTGATCAGGTCTCCAGATATTTGTCCTTCGAAGACAGGGTGGACGGCCGGTGGGCCGTCTCACAGATTGAAGGCGGCAGGAGATATTGGAGAAAAAGGTGTCGAATTCAAGTGACGCCGTTCGCGCCCCTGCTCTTAGGGTGGACCCCGCGTCACCTTCTCTGCTTTATTTTCTTTTTATCTTGAATTCTCAACACTGGAAACTGGACTGGCGATGGACGCGCAGTATCCCTTTGCTTCCCGTGACGACATTTGGCGTGTTTTTGACGAGTTGAAGGAGCTCCACATTGCCCAGTACGAGCAAGGAGAACGGCTCGCGCAACTGGAGCGTCGCCGGGACGAGGATGCCCGACTGAGAAGTCCTTGGTGTCCTGTCTCGCCGTTTCCGCACTCGGTTGGGGCAATCGCTCCAGGTAGTCCACCTCTGCCCTTCACGATCAGCTCGCCACTTACCAAGACATCCCTTCCAGACCCCACTTTCCACTCACCCCCGGATGCTTTCAAAGGATTCGATCAAGGTCATCATTCCGCAATGGCCAGTTCTGCAATCGGATTCGATGGCGAAGACGAGCCTAGACGGGGTGCGTCACGAGCCAACAGTGTCCGTTTTGACGAAAGTGCGATCCACGGGAACGGCCAGGCTAGCCGTTCCAGCAATGACCTTCCTCTGCGGACCGGCAGCGGCTTGAGCACCCACCCGCTTCTTGAGCGGACATTTTCACATCAATCTGATGGACGATTGAGCTCCTCTGGCCACTCACACCATTCCGCTCGGACTAACAGCCTGCGCCTGAATACCACTCGGCTGCTTGGTACTACGCCTATCGAGTCCCCTCTGATTCCCCCTCCTGGACTCTTCTTGCTTGGACCGGTCCCGTCCATCATTCGCTGCTGGTTGACTGATACTTTCACTAATGGCTCTCTCCTCTACGCAGCCGTTTGCTCGGGCTCTTACATCTCAAGTTTGGGTCTCTCTATGGTCCGCGAATTCGGGTTGGAGAACATGATTGTGTGCGAGGGCGATGTAGAGTACATCAAGCTCCCACTTTATCTTCCTGAAGCACTTATTCATCCATCTTCATCACGCCCCGGAACCCCTACTCACCAAGTTCCTGCCGTGACCATTCGCTTTGTGGTTCGCGAGACAGAAGTCGGCGATAATTCGATTCAAATCATCATTGGAAGCGATGTGATGCGTGCGCACAATGCTGATATTTTATTCTCGCAAGATAAACTGATCATGGTGGACGATGACCACAACCGCGTGTCTGTCCCCCTCGTTCGTCCCGAGAAGGACTCCGTGTTTAAGTCCCTCCGCACTTCTCCTAATACTGGAGACATACTGGAACCTCCTACTAACGGACATCCATCCGTTGGTATCATTGGCCGGCCTGCCAATGTTCAACAGAAACCGGCCTCAGCGCCCCCATCGACTAGTCTGTCTGGCAGCGAGAATAGCGATCCTCACAAGTCCCACCTACAGAACCCCCAGGCTCATGTTCACATTTCAGCTGAAACGCGCTCAGCTACTGTCAATCCACCGACTTCTGAGCCTACTAAAACTGAGGATATGCCATCTTGGGGTGGCCCATGGCGTCGCGATGCCAAGAAATCCGCCAGCACTGCCCAGAAGGCGGCGGATAAACGCGAGATGAAGGTCTTCCGCACCGGAAAATCCACGAGCCATGCAAACTCCACAACTTCGGGCTCGGGTCCTAGCAGTGCTACCACTGAGCAGGCCGACAAGTCGTCTTTGCCGATTACTTCTGCCCACCACCCAACTACACCTTCGGACAAGTATGGCACGCTAAATCCCGTGGGTGGTGCATCGGCGTTTGGATGGCTCAACCCACCCCATCACAATGCCTCCTCCTAGATGAAACAGACTAGGCTTGGCTTTTATGTTTGATTCCAACCGAATCTGAAATGATCTCGGCTTCTGGCATGATACGCAAGGGTTGCGATTCCCTGTAAATCAGGAAAAGTGAGAGGCGCTGAGTTAAAAGGCTGCCAACATAGAAGGGGAACCCCTTTTTCTTTTTAGCTTGTAGTATTGCCGGAATGACCTACTAAGTAAAAGAGAAAAAAATTGAGGAAAAAATGATATTCTTACCATTTAATTCGCATGACCAGTACAATATCAACTGATTCAATTCTATTAGTATATGTATAGTCCTCCTCATCTCCCATACATTCATAGGTACAGGGCTGGACGTTAGTAAATATTAGTAATCAATACTCCAGGGGGCTGGAGTGCAAAATTTACGAAAGGAATCTCAGCTTCTGCCTGGCAAGATTACCGTCGTTGTCTTTCTCGTTCGTTTAAAATCACTGCCGAATTCGAGATCCAGAACGAGGACGACTGTCCTTGAGAGCAATAATAATGGCAGGTCTGCTGGATCTTCCAGCTGAATTGATTCTAGCCATCGGTAACTACCTACAAATGGGTAAGAGACAGGTACCGCTGCTATTCCATGAAATTGGAGATGCCTACCGCTACGCGATAGAGCGTGATCCACCACCTGGCTCCAAATCCCTTCATTCTTTCCTACTCGCCACCTGTCGCCTGAATAGTCTTCTACAGCCACTTTTCTATCGTGATATATTTGTCCGCAGATATGGTCATGTCGGCGCACCATCTCCACTGCAGCAGCTAAATCGGAGTCTTGAGAAGGACCCAGGTCTCCAAGAGCACATCATCTCAGCGATCATTCCATGTGGCGACTCTATTTATGATATCCATCATTTCTTTTGGTTCTCCAACATACGAGACCTTACTATTCACAAGTTCAGTGATTGGGAGCCTTTAGAATTTCCAAACAACTCACATATTGGCACTTCAACTGTGGAATGTCTAAAGCTGATTGATTGTGGGGCGCATGAGGGAGCTCTAGCCGCTGTATTAAGCTGGCCGGCATCTTTGAAGACGCTTCACTACGACGCCGAGCAAGGTGAGTGGGAGGGCCATATTGGGGACGAACCAGCCAAAACCTGGACATGTGCTGCTTTTGTGCGCACGCTGCAATCGCAAAAAACAACGTTGGTAGAACTGACGATGACACGGCCACCGCTTGTCCATGAAGGACTGGGCAATGGACCTCGCATTGATCTGAGCGAGTTCATGGCCCTTAGAATCCTGCGCATTTATCATGTCTTCCTCTGTGGGTGGGATGCTCCGCATGGGGTCTGGAAAGGCTTACCTCACAGTCTGGAGGTGTTGGAGATTTTTTATGACGATACCGAGCTCACTGAATTCTTGAGTGAGACTGATAATTTGGAGCACGACAGTTTTATGCTCGATTTGATCCAGCATAAGAGGGTGCATCTTCCATATTTACACACAGTGAACATCTACTCGGCTGAAACAGTTCCTGATTCTGAAACAGAGGAGGATATGCCCGAGGGAAGCTGGAGGCTGGCACCATCTTTGCTCGCGCGCGAAGCGAAATCCGCTGGTGTTAAGCTGAAAGTATGGCTGGGATACGGGTATAATCAAGACTCTGAGAAACCGACGTTTTCGAGTCACTAGTCAAATCAAAGTGTATTTAGCAAAGTGGTAACCACTTATCACATGCATTCTCTCCTAGAACATCTACTATGAAAGATAAGTTAAGCACTATATTTTACTTAAACCAAGTTCCATCAAATCAAATCTTTGAAAAAACCCCCAAAGCCCCCTTCGTATTATCCTTCGTTTCCTTAACAAGCCCACTAACAGCCCGGAACGCTTCGTGCGAAGCATCACCAAGAATCTCAAAAAGGACACTCTCACTACTCGTAACAACAGCCCCAGCATCCCTCAATCTGGCAAGCGCAATCCCCCTCTCCTCGGTGTTCATACTACTAACGCCATCAACGAGGATGTAAACACGGTGACCGCGCTCGAGAAGATCAAGCGTCGTCTGCGTCACGCAGATATGCGTCTCGATCCCGACGATTATCACGTCAAGGGGCGCAGAGCCGGGGGCTGGGAGCAGCTTCTCGATCTCCGGGGTTATCATTGAGAAGAGGGTTTTATCTACGTCAGCTCGGACGTGTGTGTCGCTGAGGTGTTGCTGGAGTTCTGGCACGGTGTTGCCGAGTTTCGCGCGGTTCTGAGTTGTTATGAACACGGGGATTTTGAGGGCTGAGGCTGCGCGGAGCATTTTTTCAGCCGTTAAGACCCTGTTTGGTTGGTTGGCTTTTTGGTTTCAATTGTTCTTGGGATATGGGATTCGTACAGTTTGGGGAACTCGTAGATCCCATTGCGAAATTTTTCTTGGATGTCGCAGATGCTTTGGAATTGAGTCATTAGTTCGGATTTTGAGGCTATATATCCTTGTTTGATACTGGGGGTTTGCATACAAGAGTGCCGGATTGCCTGGTCTAGTGTTAACTTGCACTGCATTGGGATTCGGGGGTTTCTTACGGATCCGAGATGAGCGCGCAAGGGTAGCCATTACTGCAACAGTTTGTGGTTCCTATGTGAGGTTTTTAGGGACTCGGTAAAATGTAAAGAAGAGAAGAATTGGCGGGGACGCGGGGAGTCGGAGAAGTCGGAAATGCGGGGAAGAAGCCGAGGGAAGACGAGCTGGTATACTACTATCTTTGTTTCTTTTACCGTAAATTTGAATCAAGTATGGTCATATTTGGATCGGTATATATCGCTCGTCTACTAATCTAGGGATCTATAGCTTCACCTCATGCACCTTGGCCCGACCGACAAACCAGCTGTCATCACCGTTTGCCGCCGCTGTGCGAATGGCATAAAGCTCGTCGACGAATGCCGGGACGAAGCTTCCCGGGCCGCGAACATAATCTTTGGCCGCTGCGTTCTCCGCTGCAATCTCGTACATGAGAATCCCAGACAGCACTGCGAGGAGTCTGTCAGAGCGGTGGGCAGCCAGGAAACAGCCGGAGATTGTGCCGATGGCACAGCCGGTCTGTAAATTCATGTTAGCTGTGTACTAAAAGGATGTGTTTGGGGAGGTTGCATACTCCGGTCACTTGCCCCAGGTATGGGTGGCCATTCTCGACGGCAATGACCCGCTCGCCATCGCTGAGGTAGTCCGTTGCTCCGGTCAAAAGCACAACGTTCCCTATCTTAAATTAGAAAAGAGGAATCACAGCTAGAAAGCCCTAGAGAGTCACTTACGCTCCCGGAGAGCCAGGTCCCGAGCCAAGGTGGCTTTTTGATTGCCGTCAAGGGTACTCGGTCCACTGTCGACACCGCGCTGTTGGACAGTACTGCTACCCCAAGCTTGGCGAATTTCGCCCTCGTTGCCTTTGATCAGATCAAAATAACCCGCGGCCATAAGCTGGGTCACTGCATTGCGGCGAATGTGTGTCGCAGCCGCACCGACTGGGTCGTAGACGACTGGGTTGCCCCGCTCATTGTACGCCTTGATGGCTTTTAAGTAGTTTGAGACACTCTCGCTAGTCAATGTACCCATGTTGATCAAAAGAGCACCATCAAACTTGCGCAAGTCGGTGGCTTCATCGCCATATGGAGACATGATAGGAGATGCGCCACTGTAGAATGGTTAGCATGAAAAATGGCCGGCTAGGTACAATATACTGACATAGAAAGGGCAACGTTGGCTACGAAGTTTGACACAACAAAATTGATCATGTTGTGTACGAGAGGATGCACCTCGACCATCTTACGGATGATTTGGGGCACCTCATTCAACAAGGCCTCGCTCTCGTTAGCACGAGGAGGATTGAGAGCCTGTGCAAACCGGGGAGGGTTTCTGATGAGCCCGGCGAATTTCTCGGCAGATGCTTTGGGGTCATCAGCTGCCACGATCGCACTAACAATGGCTACTCCATCCAGTGCTTTCTTTGGTGACTGAGACTGATAGAGCACTCGTTGCACATTAGAGTGGTTGATGCCGCCGATAGAAACCGTGCCTATGGCGGAAGATTTAATGGCATCTAGGATGGCTTGAGTACCTGCCGTCCCGATGACTGACTTGGTATTGGTTTTGCTATGGGTGGTTAGCGTCTATTGATGGGTGTTGGCATATTCGAAATGTGGACTTACGTGGGGGTGGCAAACATAGTACCAATTCCGATATAGTCGGCGCCATCTGCGGTGGCTTTTATAGCCTCCTCGACTGAGGACGTACTGATACCAATAATGGCATTCTCGGGAAGAAGCTTTTTTGCTTCCGCGAAGCCTATATTTGACATTAATACATGTATTTTTGTAGAATTGTAGCAACGAACTCATGTCATCTTGACCTAGATGCACGCCCTCGGCACCAATGGCAAGAGCCACATCGACCCGGTCATTAATCAAAAGAGGCACATTGTACTTCTTGGTTATCTGGTGTAGTTTCCGGGCAGTTTCCACCAAGAGACCAGTGTCATTGGTTTTGTCCCGGTATTGCACCACTGTCACGCCTGCAGTAGGGGTTAGTTGAATAATTGGCAGGAAGGCTGGAGCACCGTTCACCTCCTTGCAAAGCACTTTCTACCACTGTGCATAAATCTCGTCCCTTGAGAATGGCCGGCGTCGAATCCGTGACCAAATAGAGCGACAGATCTACGGACATGGTGTGTTGGCCTTGGGCCGGACAAAGGCGGGGAGTTTCGGAGTAGTAGATCCGAAGTCGTTCTGACGAAGAGAATCAAACCGAAATGAACAACGGATTGACAAGTCCAGCAGAGGCTGTACAACGCAAGACAATGTACTTAAGTCACCGAAGGAGATTGCCGTTTATCGTTGTGTGGTCATGGTGGGGTCTTGCAAGGTTCGGCCTGTACTCGTCCGGGTGTAGAGAATATTGTAAAATTCACTCAGAACACCTATATATGCTTCAATATTGCCAATGGTTTGCTTTCAAAGTGAAGAGACTCAAACATAAGGCAATCCTTGTCAAAAGTCGCCTCCCATGTACTACTATACTCAACGTTCAATGGCCATTTATACTCCGAGTTATTTCCGGCACGTGCCCGCTGACATAACCGTGATTTGTCAAATTCTGCTTTTCATTTTCTTCTTCTACTTTTTCCCAACACTCAAACACTGACAGGCATCGAGTGATTTTCGAAGCCTTTATCTATCTACCGCGTGGACTTCCAGTTCTACGCTATTCATTATTGATCACTGGTTAGTTCGGCCTCGCCATCATCACTTTCCACCGTCCGCCCCAAGGTCTCCGACCTCTGACTCGGATTCCCGAAAGAACTTCGATCGTTCCCAGCAAGCAACACGTTGAGAAGTTTCCCGCGAACTTGTCTATGTATTCGTCCTCCGTCCAAAATTTCGAACATCACCTGCCGCTCAAGCTGCAAACGTTTCGCGCGCCGAAACCTTGCAGCATACACCTTCGATCCTGTGGCTGAATACCCCGGATCTTTCCTCCCCAATTTATTGTGACTTTTCCTAAAGAAATCACATTCTATAATCCCCAAAAAAGAAACTTGACACGCATGTCTTGTCTCGTCAACAAAATTCTCATCCAGAATCCTCCCAGCTTTCCCTCAAGCAAGCCCACTGTTCCATTCTAGTGAACCAACCGCTCAGTTAAACCGTCATCATGGCCACCGTCAATATTCGCCGGGATATCACGGATCCCTTCTATCGCTACAAGATGGAAAAGCTCCAGGCTAAAGTCGAGGGCAAGGGCAACGGTATTAAGACCGTTGTCGTCAACCTGAACTCGGTCGCCCAGTCTCTCAGTCGGCCTCCTGCCTATCTCATCAAGTACTTCGGGTTTGAACTTGGTGCCCAGGCCAACGCTAAGCCCTCCGACGAACGTTGGATCATCAACGGTTCTCACGATGCCCCCAAGCTCCAGGACTACCTTGACGGCTTCATCTCCAAGTTTGTGCTATGCAAGAAGTGCAAGAACCCTGAGACCGACGTCTCTATCAAGGACGACAAAATTACCCTGGACTGCAAGGCCTGTGGGCAGCGGTCTGATGTTGACCCTCGCCTCAAGCTAAGCACTTTCATTGTTCGCAACAACCCTAAGGGTGGCAAGAAGGAGAAAAAGAAGTCCCGCCGTGAGCGAAACAAGGAGAAGGCTGCCAATGGCGAGGATGCTAGTCCAGGTGACAGCAACAACTCCGAGAATGGTGATGATGGAGATTATGCTCTCGAGGCCAACAGCGATGATGAAGTGACCCGTCAAGCTCAGGCCATCGAGGCCGAGGCCGAGATCAAGGATCATGAGTGGGCCGTTGACGTTTCCGAAGAGGCCGTGAAGGCTCGTGCTAAGGAGCTCCCCTTGGACCTCAAGCGTGCCCTTGTCCTTGAGGATGTTGATGATGAGGGAGCTGATGGACCCTCGTCCTACGAGCAATTGGGCAGCTGGATCGTTGAAACCGCTGCTGAGAAGGGCGGTGTTACCAACGTTAGTGATGTTGAGATCTACATGAAGGCTAAGGAGTTCGGCATTGAGAGCAAGCACAAGACTGTTGCCGTTCTGGCACAGAGCATCTTCGATGAGAAGATTGCTAAGCAGATTGAAGGTCGCGCTGGTTTGCTCAAGAAGCTGATCACCTCCGATCGCCATGAGAAGGCTTTCCTCGGTGGTACCGAGCGCTTCGTTGGCCAGGATCACCCGGAGCTTGTCGTCCAGATCCCTGCCATATTGCTGGGCTACTACCAGAACGACCTTGTGTCTGAGGAAACCCTCAAGGCGTGGGGTGCCAAGACCAGCAAGAAGTACGTTGATATCTCGACCAGCAAAAAGATCCACAAAGCTGCTAAGCCCTTCATTGAGTGGCTGGAGAATGCCGAGAGTGACGAGGAGAGCGAAGAAGACAGTGAGTAGACGGTCCACGCTGCGTACGCTATTTTGTACCCTTCGCTATTTGCTATTTGCCTCTATTCTTAATTGAACATGCAGTTTTGGGCCTTGGTCTGCCCATCTGGCATTAAGTGCTCGGTTCGATTTTCATGTTAGTTTAGCTCATCAATCCCCACTCCTTTACAATGAATATCTATATGGTATCAACCATAATCAATTTTCATCCACACTAGTCGTACTTCAGTACTTGTACAAGTTATGTACGAAAGCAGAAACTTTTTGTCATGCAATGCTATTAACGACGAAAAGCAATAACTAGAACATTATCTCAGCAAGTCTAACTTGCCCCTCCTCGCCATTGAAAAGGATATTAGTAGCACCACCACAGTTACTAGCATTAC